AAGCACGCGCAGCCAACCGCCCCGCGGCTTAGAAGCGCCTCGCCGAGCCTGGGGAGCGGCGCGCGGGGCGGTTTTTCCTCTTTGGTGCACTTTTCCGCCAGACTTTTCCCTTGGGTTGTAAGCACTCCGTTCTACGTCGGCTTTTTTCTCCTCCCAGCTATTTGTTTTTATCAGATCGCCTGCCTGCCTTCATCCCGTGTCCCCAATTTTGCTGAACAGCCTTTTCGCCCTAACACTTCCCTGTTAGTCCCATGGCGTGTTTGACTGATATTTGTGTGGGTTTTTTCCCCTGTGTACCTTTATTCCTTCGCCAAGACTTTGCAAAATAGCCAGCTTTTGGAACTAGACGTGGACCAGGCAGAATTTCTGATACTCAGATGTGATCCGGAAATGTCTTTCAGCTGGAAGGACGAATATTTCTCAAGTGCTTCTTGTCCCAAGTATTCTGGACGCTGTTTTTTAACCATAGCGAAGCGATAGCGGTAGAAAAAATGTAATAATTTTTTTGGATTAGTTAAAGAAGAAGGCTTTTTTCTCCACATATTGTCTGCCATGCGTTTAAATCTTGGTTAAAGTTCTTTTAAAACAGCAGAAAGCTGTTTTGCATTTTCAGATACAAAATGCTTCAAAACAAATTTTATTTACAGATGTTTTAATAAGTTATTATGTTATCTTTATGCAAATAGAACTTTTTTAAACAGGGTTCAGCACGTTCATTTATATCATATTTGAATTCATCCTCCAAGGAGCTCATAGTGTTGTTTCTTTACAACAATGAAGTGAGATAATTAGGTTAAGAACTGAGTGTCAGGATCACTCTATGAACCTCCTAGTGAGCTGTTACAGTATTCAAACCTAGGATTGTATATTGGATTGTGGCCTCTTACAACATATTTAAAATAAAATAGAATATGTAATAAGAAATCCCAGTTTATTTCACCTGTTTCAAGTAAATTTTGCTACAAAAGCATATAATTCTTCATCTTCCTGGACTCTCCTTTTCCTCTTTTAGTAATTAAATTTTGATGTTTTATGTATTTATATGTATTTATGGTTTTAATGTTTTGGGTGAGTCACCCAGAGTCCCCCATTGGGGGGAGATGGGTGGGGGAGAAATTTAATCAATCAATCAATCATATAACTCCTGGAATTAAAGCAGCAGCATTGTCTGAGCCATAGTGATACTTCTACAGCACCTCAAAATAAAAGCAGTTCTTATTTCTAGTAAAATCATTGCTATAGTAAACTTATGACACTACTATATTTAATGAATGAATATTTTTATTACTGTCTCTGACCAGAACTGCAAACAAAAATACATTAAAAATAAAGTAAAAACAAAACAAGATAAAATAAAATAAAATATTACAATTGATGGTGGGTTCGTTGGTGGATAATAAAAGTCTGCCTAATTGTACAGGCAGTATAACAAAATTTAGCTATGTTCAAAGAGACTGAATCATACTGATCTAATAACAACTATACATAAAAAAAGCCAGAATTTCCTGGATGTTTTACTGTATCAGGTAAGGAGTATAAGGTAGATCCTTGAGTCCTTATAGAGGGTACAGTATAGCAGGACATGAGCTGTAGTTTCAACAGCCCCTTGTTCACAGGAGCACAGTCTCAGCTCCCAGGGAACTTTTGTGTATCAGCCCCCCAAAACTGCTGTAGGGAGAGTGTTGAAGTGTGCACTATGCGTTAGTGCTCTTTGTAATTTGGAAACAATTATGTGGTGTAAGTATCTCGATTTGTAAAAAGGGGCTTGACTGCTCAGGAAAATGTTCTTAGGTAGAGCAGACTAGTCCTGTTGGGCTTCCAGGTCTTTGATATGTTGTTTAAATGCGCTCATAACCCATCATTAGGAATGCTTCCCTGGAAAAGCCAAGAAGTTTAAGTTTTTGTGAGATTGTCCTGAACCATAATGTTTTGTAATTGTCCTCAATAAGGAAAGAACTCAAACCTGTGGGAAAGAACAGTAACTTCAACCAATGTGCTATGATACAGGTCCATGCACCTGTTTTGACTTTGACAGCCCTGCCTCCCTTCTTAATATTACATTTGGAACACAGGGGGCTACCTGGAATACAGCCCTTAGGAATATAGAGTGGACCCTTTCCAGAGGAGTAAAGGAAGCATAAGGAAGAGTAGTTGTGCATGACATTAGGAATGCTTCCCTGGAAAAGCCAAGAAGTTTAAGTTTTTGTGAGATTGTCCTGAACCATAATGTTTTGTAATTGTCCTCAATAAGGAAAGAACTCAAACCTGTGGGAAAGAACAGTAACTTCAACCAATGTGCTATGATACAGGTCCATGCACCTGTTTTGACTTTGACAGCCCTGCCTCCCTTCTTAATATTACATTTGGAACACAGGGGGCTACCTGGAATATAGCCCTTAGGAATATAGAGTGGACCCTTTCCAGAGGAGTAAAGGAAGCATAAGGAAGAGTAGTTGTGCATGAGCCTTAACTGAATATAGCTTCAGTGCTGCTGGGATATGCTGTACTCCTCTGGTGAAGTGAAAAGATTGAATTGCAGCCACTGTTTTTTGAGCATTTTGTATAACATAATTTTGGTGTGCATTGTGTTGGTGGAGCTATGGAAAACTATGCTCAAATATTTAAAAGATTTCACTTGTTTAATACTATTTATTTATCTTCCAGGTGTGCAGTTTAGGTCTCTTTGCAAAGATCAGGATATTAGTTTTACTATAGTTGATTTCAAGTGCTTCCTCTGAGCAGTAATTGGGCAGAGCATTCATAGCTCTTTTAAGTCCAATTAATGTTTGTGATAGAAGTATTAGGTCATCTGCATACAACCAAGTTGCAATATGTCTGTTTGCTAGTTTTGGGGAGTGATGTTCTAATTTATTTATTTTGGCCACGAATGGATTTAGGTACAGATTAACAGCAGGGGAGATAAAATACATCCCTGCCTCGCTCCTCTGTAAGTTGGAATCTCATTAGTATGGTGGCCTTACATACCACATCGAACTATGATTCTAGAATTAAACAATAATAACCATCTATCAATGGTAGTATTCATAAGCTTAGTCCATAGCCTTGTTCTGGAAACTAGATTGAATGTGGACTTAAAATCAATAAAGGCAGTATATAATATTGAGCTTGTTTTAGATCTGTATTTTTCAGCCAGATATTGAAGTATAAGGGCATGTCCTGAAGCTTGCTTTCTCATCTGCCAATATATGCTCTAGGTCGATCCAGTCAACTGATTTGTTGTATAAGTGTCTGGTATAATAAGAGCTTTCTTATTATACTTAAGGGTACCTGAAGGCTGTGGGGGTCTGGATGGGGAACAACAGGCTTCAACTGAACCCTGGTAAGATGGAGTGGCTATGGATTGGAGGTTCCTTTGTATCTGAGGGTTTACCATCTTTGGTTCTCAATGGGGTTGCACTGCCCCAGATAGACCCGATGTGTAATCTGGGGGTCCTCCTGGACTCACAACTCCTGCTTGAGAAGCAGGTGGCAGTTGTGGCCAGGAAGGCCTTTGCTCAACTTCATGTTGTGTGCCAGTTACGCCCCTTCCTGGATCAGCAGGCCCTCTGGTCTGTCACTCTTGCCCTGGTCATCTCTCGTTTAGACTATTGCAAGGCGCTGTACATGGGGCTACCCATGAAGAGCATTCAGAAACTACAGCTGGTTCAAAATGCAGCCACACAGGCAATCTTGGGTGCTCCAAGGATGGCACATGTAACATTGCTGTGGGAGCTGCACTGGGTTCCAGTTTGTTTCCGGGTCCAATTTATCACCTTTAAAGCCCTACATGGCATGGGTCCAGGTTACCTGAGAGACTGTCTCACCCCCATTACATCGACCCATCCCACCTGGTCCGGCAGAGAAGGTATGTTGCAGATCCCGTCGGTGAGAGAATGTCAACTGGTGGGTCCCAGGAGGAGAGCCTTCTCTGCCGTTGCCCTTGCCCTATGGAATACTCTCCCCCTAGAGGTGAGGCTGGCCCCTTCCCTCCCAATTTTCAGGAGGGAATTGAAAACCTGGCTCTGCCAACTTGTGTGGGGCGAGAAGAGATAAAACTGACCCTGCAGATGACTGGGGCCTTGAAGATGCTCACTGAGTTTATTAATACCTAATTAATATCAGCCTCTTGGAAGTAATATATAGGAAGTTTGTTATTGTAGTATATTTTAATTAATTAATTTTTATCCATTTTAATTAATGTTTATTCTGTTTTTGCTGTAAGCTGCCCAGAATCATTCTGTAGTGAGATGGGCGGTGACAAATTTGAAAAGTGAATGAATGAATGAATGAATGAATGAATGAATGAATGAATGAATGAATGGCTAGTAGGTCTATAATTAGCAGGCAGATCTCATGCGCCCTTTTTATAATTGGGCACTATGATGGCTAGGCCCCAGTCCTCTGGGATTTGTGCAGTGCAGTTAATATAAGTAACAGGGAAGCAAGAACTGGGGTGCACCATTCCAAATTATTGCATAGTATTTCAGGAGTAATAAAGTCATTGCCTGGATCATTACCAGGCTTTAGCTGATTTATAAGCGTCTTTATTTCAGCACTTGAAACTTAGGCCCAATTAGGGAGCAGGTTAGCATTAAGATTTAAGTCGAATTTAGGAGACTCTTCTTGTGAATATAAATCTAAAGTGGTCCTCCCACACGGATGCAGGTAAGAGGTGGGGAAGTGAAAGGGGCCTGTTAACTGGGTGGGAAGCTATCAGGCACCAGAATATGGGATTTCTGGCTTAAGGTGCTGTTATCAGTTGCTGTCGGGAAGCCCTAGTGAATTCTCTTTTCTTGTTTTGTAATAAATGTTTGTATTATTTCTTGAAGAGCATAAAGTCCTGGATGGAGTGCTCAGCTAGGTTCTCTTTATATAATTTGAATTTCCTATTCAGTTTACTCTTGGCCTCAAAACATTCCATGTCAAACCAGAGCTGAGAAGGATAAGCCTTGCCCCCATGCTTTTCTCTCTTCCTCAATATCTGGGTGGAGACCACTGGGTGAAGTAACTGAATCAGTTGGGTGAATGTCTTCAGAAAGGAATTCCCAGACCTCTCTTTAACTGTAGTAGAATGGAATTATAATGCTGCTTCAGACAGAAGCAGCTAAGAAGTTTGTTCATTGAGTTGCTAAGTCCATCTGGCATAGATCAGCCCTGGCTCTAGGACTGTTTCCAAAATTGAAGTGGGTTCTGTTTCCAGAAAGCAATTGTCAGATGCTTTTATAACCATGATAGCTGGTTATATCAGATCAATAGCTGGTCACTATCAGATCAATTGTCTAGATAAATTTTTTGTACAAGAGTAAATTCCATGAGATTAAAGTATAATCAATCAGGGAAGGTCTTAAGCCAACCCAGTGAGAGAATTTGCCAGTGAAATCACTACTGATAGATCCATTCAATCAGTCAAGTAGTTCAGTAATCAAGTAGTTCAATTAGCTTGTTAATTGTTTGTAATAAACATAACCTCTTACCTCTTGTAATCCCCTTTTTAATCTTTAGATTGCCAGATTGATAGAGGGGGGATTGTAACTACTTCCGGAGGGTATTGGTGGAACTGAGTAAAAAGTGCCTTATCTTTTCCTCCCACCCTTGTGTTCAGGTCACCAGAAATGATTACATAAGCAGAAGGGTTATTAAACATAAGGGTAATGTTTGCTTCAAATCTGATCCGTAGACTCTCAAATTGGGATTTATTTTGAGAAGGTGGAAGGTAGACATTGACCAATAGTAACAGAACAATATTACATTTTAGCAGCACAGACATTGCATAGCGCTCCACTGAGTCTAACTGTATAATGTTTGAATGTAGCTTAGTTGAACTTTGTATACTTAAGCCACCACACGATCTACCTCATCCTGCTCCAGGAGCTGCTGCAAGTGAGAAGGACTTATATCCACTTATAAGCAAGCTGTTATCTAGCCAGGTTTCTTGAAGTAGGAGAATGTCAAATTCAGCAACATAATTGATGAAAGCAGAGTCTGAAAGGTTAAATATGTGATTTTTTTTAAATCCATCTATAGCCTAAAATTCAGGATGGTAAATTATAAATAATTCCCTTTTTATAGACTAAATTGGAGCCTTCGATATATTAAGATATATGGATATATTTGGATTTTTTTAGGAAGTGTTGTAGGAACCATCACTACAAAAATAAAAAGCCATACTGTTGAGATTAGCAGTCAAGGATAGTTTTTTCAACTTACAGTTTTATTCTCCAAAAAAGGATTTATTTCATAGAAAGGATATCCCACTTCCCCAAAATAACTTTAAATACATTATTCTGAAATTAATTAGCCTTAATTTATTTCCTGCAGATAGGTCATACCCAAGTGATTTTTCTCCCACATGCAGGTAATCCTTGATTTACAATCATTCGTTTTACAACCGTTCAAGGTTATGACAGTACTGAAAAAAGTGACTTATGACTGGTCCTTGCACTTACAACTGTCACAGCGTCCCTGCAGTCACATGATCAAAATTCGAGTGCTTGGCAACCAGCATGTATTTACAATGGTTGCAGCATCCCAGGGTCACATGATCTCCATTTGCAACCTTCCCAGGGGCTTCCGACAAGCAAAGTTAATGGGGGAAGCTGGATTCGCTTAGCCGTGTGATTCGCTTAATGACCGTGGCAAAAAAGGTTGTAAAATCGGGCACAACTCACTGATCATATCACTTAGCGATTGAAGTTCCACTTCCAATTGTGATCATAAGTCAAGGACTAGCTGTACACACGCATACTGTCAACAGATAAAACCCAGAAGAGGATCACTCCTTAAAAAGTATGTTTACTCTTCTGGTTAGCTCCTAAACACATCGTCTCTATTACATACACAGACAACCAGCCATTCAGAGATTCACAGACACATACCTCATTAATCCATCACACAAATACTGTATATCCTTAAACTCTCATTGGCATTTTCAGCCATCCCCTTGAATC